TTCCTACTCTGGGTTGTGGAGCTAGCCGCAGTAATTTATAGTCAAACCACAAATGCTGAGTTGGGGTGTCAAACCCTGTGGCCACACAGTCCTATTAGTGGTATTTCTCCTTGAGGACTCAATTTGTGTTGTCTTGTTCTTGGTTTGTAGATTCTTTAATCAGTAGTTATAGAATAATAATGGCTTCAATTTGTTCTGTGTCTTGAAAAGAGATAATGATTTTAAAAGTCTAGAGGCACAAAGGATCACACAACAGAGAGATTATGATATTTTTTCTTTATCAATTTATTTATTTATAATCTATCAGGTTTTTTTTATTCTGAATGCCAAACACAGTGCCTGGCAGGAAGGAGCCAATTACTCACTGTGTTGAATTATTGAGAAAAGATATGACATATGGCCAACTTTTGAAAAGTATGCTAAGGCTGTGAGGATGTTTCTAATTAATAGACACTTAGATGATTTAGTTCCAGGTACAATTTTAACTATTGTACCTGCATTAATACATGTAATCCTCATAACCATCTCTAGAGATGATTTCATTATTAGTCCCACTTTATAAAACCAACCAACCAACCAACAAAATTCACTACTGTGGAAGGTGACTCAGAATGTCCCTAAAGGACAGGGTAGAAGAGCCCTTGTGAATTTCTGAGACTGCAACTCTTTGCAGGAGTTGAAATTCCCATCATTCTCACTAGAGAAGCCTAGTGGTTTTGAACTGCTGACCATGTGGATCTCAGCCCAGCGCTCCCATTTTATATATAGGGAAAATGAATACATGGTGAACTTCAGTTATCCCAAAACAGCAAGTAGTAGAATTGAGATTTGAAGCCTTTAACCATTATCCCAAACTGTCTCTGAAGTTACAACACTGTAAACATTCTTGGATGCTCCCAAGCATGAGCATATATACAGTGTATCTCTTAAAAAAAAAAAAAGATGGGTTATTTATCTTAACCCTATCTTCTATTCCAGAGAAAATGCCTGGGATTTAGTTTGGGAATTAGGGAGCATGTGTTTAACCCAGCTAACACACTAACATACTGAAATCTTATCTTTACTGATATTCTATCTCCTATTTCATGTTGTACATGAAGTACCTCTGGAAATCTTTTTTCCCCAGACATTTACACAAAGGGCACTTGATTTAATGACATCAAGTGATCAATCTTTCTGTGGTATTCTTATCTCAAGGGCTGTGAAATGACTTTTAGTGTGTTTCCTTTTGAGCAAATACGGAAACAATTCCATATTCACAGATAATTTCCATTTGTATGCAACCTCCTTAGCACACATGGTTGGTGTTCATGTCTAGACAGCCAGCCCATAAGATTA